ATTTCCTGCCACCTCAAGGCTCTGATTGGCAGTGTGTGTTTTATCTGTATCTAAAATCAAAAGGAGATCATTTATTTTTTCATGAATGCGGTTTTCATTCTTTCCATACTATTGAATATTGAATGCTATGCCAAGCCCTTTCTTAGGTATTGGAACAGCCGCAGATAGTTTGGTGCTGGAGGGAAACTGAGTGGTTAGGGCCTCTGGGAGTTCTGCTGGGGCTCTTCCAGCCTCTGGCAGATCCATGCAGAACCTGTATCCTTAAGGGAGAAAGGTGAGAGAGTACCACCAAGCAGGGGCAAGTAGGACATGCGGAGGGGACCTGGTAGGCAAAACATGGTGTGAGTGGCTGGCTTTGGAGACTCAGTGGTGAATCACCCAATGGGTGCTTCTAAGGGCTCCAGCAGAAAGCGACCCAAGGCTCATGGTCAAGAACTCCTCGAGAATGCATAGCAGTATAGCAGGCATCAGAAGGAAACTTCAGGTGCACTTCGAGGACATTGCCCTGCTAACAGCAGAACCCTGGCAACCTGAGTCTGCCAAGACCTCGGAGCTCTAATAGCCATGCTGAGAGGCAAGATTGGGATAGGGAACCACAGCCGGAAAACCTACAGCCCCAAATAATGCACTGTGAAGGGACATCTTGGGCTATTTTTATTCCCAGTTCAATACATGCAGAGGAATCCCTGCCAGAAGTCAAGTTCAGGGCAGGAGTTTCCATTCAGGTATGCTAGATAGAATGCTGGGAGTATGGCCCAGACACAGATAAGGAGTCAAAGACACTTGTGGGCATCTGTGTGTGGAGAAACACTTGTGACCTCATTCCTAACAGCAGCAATGCAGATGTTTAATAGCATGCATAGTATACCACACATTTCCCAGTGTGTATGTATGTATGTATGTATGTATGTATGTATGTATACACACACACACACACACACACACACACACACACACATTTATATACAGTGCCACATGGCCTTATGATTACATGTCAGGAACAAAGAATCAATCACTCCTGATGTCTACCACTTAATCCTATCAGCATTTCCTTCTAGGGTTTCTCTCGTCTACCCCTAAGTTTATTATGTAGTTGTAATCATTTCACCCTTCCTGAATCCTTCAGTACAGATACCAGACACTCATTTACAAAATGGTCATCTGGGGGAGGGGTGAGGAACAAAGGAACAAGAAAATACCCCTCCCTGTCATTTTTTAAAAAGCATTTGGGTTTTTGTTTTGTTTTGTTTTTTTGTTTGTTTCTTTCTTCCCTTTAGCATTTACACTATTCCTGACAGGAGGAAGGAAGCCCTGGAGATATACGTATCCACCCACACACATATGTCCTTTCCACTCTACCCCTAAATCCCTCCCACCCTACCCCTACACACGCACATTGCATCCTTAGCCTCCTCATCCAACAGAGTCAAAGCCAGTAACCTCTTCCATCCATTGCAGCTGTATGTCCCTCCCACAGGGGCCTAGTGTCTGACCCTGTGGACTGTAGAGGATCAGGGGGAAGTGGCAGAGAAAATGGACAGACCTGAAGGGGCAGAAGCCTGAACGCAGCTGGCCTGATTTATGACGACTTCCACAGGGAGGACCTGGCACAGAAGGGTATGGGACAGAGCACTGGGTTTCCGTGGCTTATCTGGGGACTGGATCTTGAAGTCCTGGCCAAGTGGGACACAAAGACAGGATCTTTGTGTTCGGGGGGAGGGGGGAATAAAACAAGGTTTTCTTTGGTAATGATCTTGATCATTCAATATCCAGATGTTTAAAATCAAACACACAGGTAGATTTGAGTTTTCTCTCTATGTGGTTGGCGTGGTACAGAGACCATCCCCTCTCCTTACCATCTCCCAGCTGCTCTGCTTTCCTTGTCCCACATGTCTGCCTTTGCTGTTCAACCATCTTATTCTCTGTATCCGTTTCTCAGTCTTTGATGCCGGGTTTTGTTTTGTCTTAAACACCAGCAACTAAACCTAGTGCATGGTTGACAGTGCTCCACCACTGAGCCACATCCCTACATCTCCATCCTTCTCGCTTAAGCATCAACAACCCAGTTCTCTCCTACAAAGCAAATGTGGTTTATGGGGATAGTTAAGAGAGGACAGGTAGTGAGCCTCACTTAGACCTTAGATACCTCTTCTCTCTCTCTCTCTCTCTCTCTCTCTCTCTCTCTCTCTCTCTCTCTCTCTCGCCAAAATGAAATCTAAATATTCATTATATATCCAAACCAAAGTAGAAGACACTCCCACTCCCAGTTCCCTTCTTTCTTATCTTCGGAAGATACACCCCAAGAGCTTCCTTGGGTGTCTAGAACCAGAGACAATGTTGAACTCTCTCTACACTATGCCCCATTTCTTCACATGTATACTTAGAATAAAGCAGAATGTATATGGAGGCATGATTAAAGACCAACAACAGCAATTATAAAAGAAAACAAAAATAATATGATATTGGTAAAAGTTACTTCAAACTCTTGAATTGCTTTTTTTCCTGGAAATTCCCATTTAATATTTTGGGATGTAATGCATCTTGGGTAGCTGAGACAAAGGAAGGCAAATTATGAATAAAGAGGCAATTATGGTATATCTATTCAACAGTGTGCTGGGTGTGCATGCTAAACGGTCAAACCTCTAGTTTTAGGAATCCTTCAGAGCATGCCATGCCCCTGAATAAACATCCTTTCTGGTTAAACAAGACTGAGATTTCATTGTAACTTTGGGTCACTTAGCTGGTACCTGGGAGCAGGGGCACACAGTCCACAACATGGATGAAAATGGGAGAACAGCATGCCAAGTAAAATAAGCCAGAAAATGTGTGGTTCCATTGCTAGGGGGCACCTGGCAGAGCCACATTCAGAGGTGGAAATGAAGGAGTGAGTGTTTAATTGGTACATATCTGCAGGATGAAAATATTCCAGAACATTGCATGGACAACATTGCCAACTTAAAACAATGAAAATAGTCACTTTTGTGTTGATTACATTTTACTACAATTAAATTTTTTTAACTGAAAAAAAAAAATGTTCAGCCTAGTGAATTTTTCATCAGTGTGTAGGCTTGGGGCTAGAAGAGACAATCAGAAGTTACTTAGTTCAATGATCCTCAACTATTTATTGCCTGGAATCCATAATAAAAGCTAGATTTTATGCCATGAGCCAGCATATGAATGCCAAGACAGAAACATATATGTGTATTTGGATAGAACACACACACACACACACACACACACACACACATATACATACACACACACATATATATATATACAAATATATACCTAGCTAAAAACATAGAACTAAAAAGGCACAAGAAGCAGTAGCCATTATATGAGGTGTGTTCTGTCTTTTTTCCTACTCTATTCTGTCTAATTTTATTTTTCAAATATCAGTTACATTCTACAAAATTGATTTCATTATCCAATAGTTGGGTTTCAGCCTGCAGTTCAACAGCCCTGGTCTGGATTACCCCCCACAGTAGAGATGTCCAGTATTTCTCTGCTGGGTGGTCATCCAGCTCCCCCTGAATGCCATCAATGATGGGGATCTCACTTTCCACAAGGCTGCAGGCTCTGTGATGAACCTTCCTAGCAGATAAAGCTCCCAAATCACTTCCCAGTTGTTCCAGATGTGACTGGGTGGAGCTGGGGAAAAGTAGATGTCTAGGACCAGGTGGAGGGATCTGGTCAGCTTAGGAAAGGACTGAGAACACACCTCTATCCACAAGGCAGGGAGCAAGGGGGGCTGGAAGCAAGACCAGGGTACTGGGAGGTCATGGCTGCCTTCTGGCTCTGCATTGACCTGCCCCCTCTGCCTCTGCTTCCCTCCACCGCTATCATTATTTCCACATCTGGTGCATGATCTCATCACCCAAGCACCCACCCGAGGGAGAACTCTCCTCCCCGAGGGGCCCCAGCCTTAGGGGAGATGGATTCCAACACATTCCGTCTCCACCCTTCACCCCTCAGAACTCCAGCAGGTCATTGTCAGGTCATCCCATCAGCTGTCCACTTGGTGTGGGGACATGGGGTATCCCTGCCTGGGGTCTTCAGACAGGGTGACCTAAGGCTGTCTGACCTAGCCTCTGAGGTATCCCCCAAAACTGTCCAGGTTGAGGACAATGAAGCACTTAGACACCTAACTGTGTTCCTGGGAGAAATAAAACAAAGACAGGGCTGCCACGTGGGGACACAGCTATGGGCTGGACATCAGAGCTCTGGAAAAGAGGGGGAAAGGACGCTAGAACTCCTGGCCGGGGTGGTGGGCTGAGCGCAAAGGGGGCTGCCTGTGACTGGTCGAGGACCAGCGAACCTGGGTGTGGCTGTCCTGCCAGCTGGCATCCTCTGCCTTAGAGCCAGTTGCGGAGCCAGTTAGAATTAGGTTGACCTCAGGGTGGGGCGGGGCAAGCGAGAGGGGATGATCTCACTGCATCCTTCAGGCCGAGAGAGAAAAAGTAAGACTGCACAGAGCTGGGAGAGAAAGAAAAGACCGTGCTCCCCCCCCCCAAAAAAAAAACAAGACCAAGAACGAAAGGAACAGATGAGAACGTCAAAAAGCAGAGCTTCTTCAGCTCGAATACGGGGGTCCTCAGTCAGAGCAGCCTCCGAAGAAGCTGAGCTCCAACAAACCTTCTTCTCTCAAAAGCACATTTTTTTTTTTAAATGCAGAAATAACATGAACCTCCACGACACGTCCCACTCCTCTGGAACAAAATGATGCCCAGAGCCCACCCTCACTGCTCTTCAAGCACCATCGTTTTGCCTCACCCTGCTTCTCCCCCAGGATTTGACAAAGTTTAATCGACCGAGTGAACCAAAGGCAACACAATAGACACCAAACCCTTGTTTCTCCCCCTCTCTGGCTGCTGTTGTTTCTTCCTTTCGTTTGAAAAACCCTCCGATTATCCGCCTCTCAGTTCTGCTTACCTGCAGTCCGGTTTCCAAAGAGAGCTGCTCTCTTCTCACTCCCTCAATTAGTGGTACCCTAGGCTTCTCTCAACATCAGCACCACTGCTGGGCTCTCGCCATGACATCACCTCCGAGCTCCCTGATTGGCTAACAGTGGGTTGCTTGGCAATTGGACAGTCTCCTCCGGCGGCGGAGCAGGGATTGCCTGAGTGAGTAACTCTTAGCAGGCTGGGGAGTGGAAGATGATGTCAGACAAAGAGCCTGCTTCCCCCCCCCTCCCCGCTGCCTGTGGGGCTGGGGAAGCAGAGGGGGTGAGCATGGCCAGGAGGCAAGAGAGAGGGTGTGGTACCGCGAAGTGGGGGTGCAGGCACAGTTTGCAAGCTAGGGGAAGGATGAATGACTTGAAGAATCTTTAGCTCTCCAGATCTGGAGGAGGGAGAATATGGAATCTAGAGGAGCAATAGGAAGAACAGATGAACCCTAAAAATAGCCCCCCCCCCGGGAACTTGGTGCCTGTTCCCAGCTCCATCAGAAGAGCTGACACACGTGAAGGGTGGTTTAGATGGCAGGAAAAGGCTGCAGAAATCCCAGGTCCAGGAACTTCTGAGGGCTCTGGTCTCACAGGTGTCCCGGGAGAACGGGGTTTCCCTCTGGCCTCCCTCAAAACCATGTTGCTCGGTCTTTTCTGCAGAATCTACCTAGCACCGCTAGGTCCTCAACAGCCCACTCAGGCAGCCTGAGCCAACCAGAGCGAGCCACAGGTAGGAAATTAAACTGGAGGTCATTACACCAGGGCTATTCCTAAATGTGATGGATTCCTGGGGGGCATCAGTGGGTCACTAGTGATGGCTCTCCTCAGGGACTGAGGGGACCCTCTGTACAGATGCATCAGCTGTTCACACACCGCCTGTCAGCTGCAGACAGCAGGCACAACAGGAAGAACAAGGGCCCTGTGGAGCAAGACACTCCCTCCAAGTGCCTCTCCCTCTGCTGGCCCTGCTATGGATTCTCTGTCCTCGAGTGCTACCACCTCACCTTGCTGCACGCCCTTCTCTTTGGAGGGTGTAATATTTTGTTATAAAATAAGAAAAATGTAAAAGTTACTCTCTTACCTCCTTACAAGGAGACAGTTCGGTGGTATTATACAGCCACCATGTTGCATACAGACTGCCACCACCCATATTCAGGACCCTTTCATCCCTTCAGCCATCCCTAACCTGTCTCCTGCACAGCTCAATAAAGCTGCATGTCGTGTGCACCTAGTGTGAGCGAATCATGACATCTGTCCCCCCCTCCCCCGTGGCAGACTTCCTTCGTTCACATGTTTAAACGTCTTTGAGGCTCATTCGTTTTAAGGAAGGTTTGTTGAGTATTGAATGGCATTGGGGGTCCTCATCCTCTACCACCCCATAGACTGAGAACACACAAATTACCTTGAATCCAGCTCAGACTTGGAGGGGAATTTTTTTTTTCTCTTTCCTTGTTATTGTTTGAGACACAGTCTTGTTAGGTAGCCTTGACTGGCCTGAAAAATCACTATGTAGACCAGGCTGGCCTTGAACTCACAGAGCCCCTCCCTCCTTTTCATGAGTGTTGGGATTAAAGGAATGCACTGCCATACCCAGTTTTGAGATGAGGTTTTAACAGCAATAGCGTTGGTGAATAAAGCGTTGGCTGCAGCATATAACACATATGTGCTCACTGTATAGACTGTCCTGGAGACTGAGCAGAGACTCTGGCCTTGGCATTCACCCCTCACCTGCTCCCCCAACACAGCCAAGACACACAGGTTGGCTTTTCTGTACTCAGCACCCTGAGTTGCTCTGCAAGTATCCCTTGTGGACACACATCTCCAAACCCCTGACTTTACATCAGGAGGAGAGGTCGACCTTATGCTGCTTGGGGGTGGCTGAGACAGGAGCGTGGCTGCCTTTGGGTTTCAGAACACATTTGGTTGTTCTTTCAGGCATTATCCTCAGCAGTGCAGCCAGGGAAGAATGCCATCCTTACTGAAATTCAATAAGAGCTGCCACCTGCCACATGGACCCTCAAGTTTCCGGCTCAGACTCAGAGGCATCCCTTAGCATACCAGACTGGGGTCCAAATTTAAGCAGACCACAAAATGTGCCTACAGTCTTCCCTCCCCCAGTCTGCCCTTCCCAGCCTGAGGAGTCTGGACCTCCACAGGCAGATTGGCTAGCTCTGGAAAGAGAGGGAGGGGGAGCAGAGAGAGTGGGTTGCCATGACGATGGCAGCCAATCAGATATCTGCTGCTACTGAAAGAGGGAAAGGTGGTCTGAGTGGCCCTGCCTGTGAGGGAGGGTGGAATGGAGGAAAGGGGAAGAGGAGGAGATAGGTCATCACTACCCAAGGCAAAGAACAGGGGTGAAGGAGGGAGGTGGGCAGAGGGTTGCTCCTTTTTCTAGAATTATCTAACTATTGCTTGAGGGACAGGCTATGATGAACACACACACACACACACACACACACACACACACACACAGAGAGAGAGAGAGAGAGAGAGAGAGAGAGAGAGAGAGAGAGAGAGAGAG